GAAAATTCAACGCGTTCTTGCTTATATTCTGTATGCAGTCTCGGCACTCCTGTATGCTACTTCTCTTATCCAGTTTCTTCTATACAAAGGTTTTTCCCGTTCGTTTGGTGTGTTGTTTTCGTTGTATTTCCGTGTTTGGAATTTCTAATGGGATTATATACCGCAAGCTGCATTTTGAATGTTTGACCTTCGGGTCACATGGTCAATTTGAAAGTAGGTTTTCCTCCCTGCCAAAAGAACCCGCGTTCGAACCCGATCACTAACGTTCTTTCTTTCAAACAGCGATACAGAGAAGATTAGCATGGCCCCTGCACTAAGGATGACACGCTTCAACAAAGAGTAGCTAAAAGTTTTTTTTGCACTTTTTTTCTTCAAAATTACCAAACTAGCACAAATTCAAGGCTATCCAGAATACCCTCTTCCAAAATTGTCTGGTTACGAGGCTGCCTCTTCCTTTCTCGTGAACTCTTTTATTTAGCTGTGGAAACAGCACATCAGTCTTGACGCCTCACAGACCCTTTTTATAACGTGAATGGCCTGGATTTTTCTGTCTACAGTAACTTCCTGCTTGCAGGTTGCTGCTGGATTAAAAAAATCCATGGTTAGCAAATGGTACGAGACCAGTTTAACAGCATTTCCGCTGATAGCAAATACAAAAGGCTGTAGGCTGGTTCATAAGACAAGTCAATATCGATATATCTATAGTCGGATGTTAGCACTTAAGGCCGCCGAAGTCCCATCAGAGGACCTTTTTATAGATACCACGAATGCTAGCCCGCAAGTATGTAAGGTAATGTACGTATTATTAGTGGTGAAAACGCTAAATTTCGAATGGAAAAGTTGCTATCCGTTTTGCTAGCAATTGCTGGGCATTGGTCATCTTCCCCTTTGTTCAAGGAAGGGGCTTAAGGTAAGGAGGCTTTCTAATGAGCATATTGAGGAATCCGAATTCAAGTTAATGGTTTTGTTTTGTTGGATACCGATCTGGTAACCTGGGGAAAGTGGGAACCTCCTTCGCGCGGGAAAGCAACTTCTTGGTTCGCGGTGCATTGAGGAAGACACCAGTCACAATAAACCTATCCAACCAAGTCCACAGACTGAAAAGCGTGGACTCGAAGTATTCATACATGGCATTTCTACAATTCGAATGGCAAAGTATGTACATCTACGTAAGCGAACCCACCCCAAAAAAACCTGCTTCACGAGCTCATCTCCCGATGCGTTTCCCAAGGGCTTGGTATTCCCCGATGTATCGTTGGAAGTCCCAAAACGAACCGTCGTATTCTACAAATGATGCAAGATTTGCACTGTACAGCCCGAAAGGGGAGCAACTGCAGGCACTGCCCATTTCCTATTTCTTTCGTGCCGTATGAAAAGAGGAAAACATGGGGTTCGATCCTTGTCTCCATATCCTTAGTGGGTAATCGAGATTCGCTCAGCCGCTCGGTTCTCGAACCGATCGAGCTACGTGACGGCGATCTTGTCGTTTTCCCGTGCGACCAAGGTGTGACAAACCATGCCAATGCCAACATGAGTATAAACTCCTCTGCTAGCTGTACCATTTTGCTCTCCGTGCAGCCTTAAAGATACAACAATAGGTGACATTCCTTAGGTCAAAACTTTCATCAAATCCCGCTCCAAGAGATTGAAAAGACTTGGAGATAGCATTGGCACGACCTTTTGAACCATCATGAGGCTTTCCCATTGATGAACTCAGTTATACCAAGAGTGTCCAGACTTGAAGAAGCAAAATGCCAACTACACATTGCATATTCTTGTTGTCTCCATTCAACTTTTGATCACCATGTACGTTGATACCAAGCGGAGTTGTTCGCTTTGCCGCCGGACCGATTCAATCGATTCATTTGCATCATATCAATGGGCAGTTGCTTTCGTAGGTTCCTTCTATTTGTATAAATTCACGGTCAATTCCCTAAGATAATGGTTTTGTATTCTCGGAAAATCCAATTGTTTCTGCAAAGATACAAATATCCATCACTTCAATACCTGATTCAGTCTTCTTTTTGAGTCTCGCTCTATTGATCTTCGATTATTCAATATGAAGTTCGCAACTATCGCAACCGCCCTTTCACTCCTCAGTCTCGCCTCTGCTTTCCCAGGGGGACGAGGAAAGGCACCATCAAAGTATGATTCGTGGTTCTTCGATGCAACCTACGATGTCATCGCTACTCCAAACCAAGTCGTAACCAACACCTCCATGCCAGCACCTGGAGAACCAGGAGCCAAGGGCCGCTTCAGATACGGAATCAACGTCGCATCCCAAGTCATCTGCTACAACATTGAACTCTGGGGCGTCACCGGCGACTACCAATCCCCAGCCAAAACCGCCACCCACATCCACGAGGCCGTCAAGGGCAAGAGTGGTCCACCGAGGATTGCGTTTCCAAATCCAGTCGGTAACGATAAATACCGAAAGAGTCGTGGTTGTCTCAAGGGACCATTTAAGACTGGTATTGTGACCAATGGTGTTGATAGTGGTGATGGATTTACTCTCGACAAGATCATTGCCAACCCAGCTGGTTTCTTCACCGACTCTCACACCAAGAAGTTCGTTCCGGGTGTCGTCAGAGGTCAGCTCAGTAAGCGTTGGGGTTGTTAGAGGGATGCTTTGAGGAGGAATAACGTCGATGTTTGCATTTTCAATACGTTTCTATGAAGCACGAGACATAGTCAGCCTTAATGTAATATTATCAAGTTGTTAGGAAGCTTAAGGATTAAATAGCATACAGCAGCACTAGTTTTAAGAGAAAAAAATGTAAAGTTCTTCGCGAATTCAGCTACTACGTAGTTAGGCCTACAGCATGCGTATCACCGAAAGTTAACAGGCGATTCAGAATATATGGCTGACTGCCTATTTTTGTGGGTGAAGAAATGTCAGAAGTTGATGTTCTCATATCTTCTTCGAGAATCTTTATTATAACACCAGTTTAAGATCTCAAGAATTAAGAAGCGCGTGACAAACGAAGTTTCGAAAGTGATTTCTGTAAACAACCACCAAAGTTTGTTTAGAAGTGGCTTTTATGAAATCCTCCAATCAGTTCTGAATTCGGACCTCAGAGCCAAAAGCACGGTTTGTCCAAAATTGACATCATTCAATCGCTTGACACACCGTACAGATGCATGTTTCGATGACCTCTTGGCAAGCTTGAGCATTCACTTAGCTAGCGCTGCCAATCCAAACCAGCGAACTTCGTCTGATCTTTTGACTTCAATCTCCTAATCAAATCCCATCAATCGAATCTCGATTCGCCATGCCGTCAAGTATAGATAGCGAGAGCCTGCCACTTATCAACCGCGGCCGGGAAGCCGTCCGTCGTGTATCATCCGTTTGGACTGGGTTTCGAGGTACTACCTTACTTACATGTTTAGATCCGGCCGTTATCTGTCACTGACCATCAATCGATAACAGACTTCGCCCTCCGCGACAATGTCCTCGAAGTCGCTGTCGGTCTCATGTGAGTTACCTTCAGCTTACCTAAACCTCTAAGCATCTCGAGCACATGTACACGAGCACTGGTCACCCACAAGCATTGCCCATCGGCTGCCCCTGAACCTTGTGCCAGTTGTGTTACGTCACAGCATCGCTAACATCGGCAACACAGTGTTGCATCCGCATTCACATCCGTCGTCAATTCTCTCGTCGCCGATATCATTCTGCCCCCGATATCCTTAATGTGGCAGCAAAGTCTTGCCGAAAATTTCATAGTCCTAAAGCAAGGCCACAATACAACCGCCCACTATAATACCTTTCAGCAAGCACAAGACGATGGAGCTATTACTTGGAATTATGGGTATGTATTTACTCTCAACAGCCAAAGTCGACTCCATACTGTACTATCATTGTCAAAGGCTAATAGCATTTCTAGACACTTCTTAGAAAAATTCATTCAATTCATGCTCCTCGGTGTCACTCTTTACGCGCTCGCCAAATTCTACTCCCTATTCTCGAGCGAAGCTATTATCAAGTATCAAACCAAATGTCCCGCCTGCAGAAAGGATATTTCAGCAAAAGCGAAGAGATGTCCGTTTTGCACTAGCTGGCAAGATGGAAGTGATTCGCAGGGCCATTAGAACGTGGGATTTGATTGTGTCTTAGCGGGTGGATCAATTGGCGGTGTAGACGGAGTTGTGGGGTTGTTTATCTGTGGTTATTAGCGGCGCATTGCGGTGGCCTGATTAGACATCAGTAATTGTATTAGCGACATAGCACTTACTTTGAGGTTAATGGAAGTAACTAGGAGTTTTCGGTTGATGATGGCGATAGGTGCTGGACATCCGAATCAACATTCTCCCTACCTATACTAAACCGGTCTGGTGAGCTAGCCTCGGCTAAGCTACATGCCAATTCGTGTTGAAAAGCTCAAAGTCAGATCTCTAAGCCCAAAGTCGTTGAAACGCCCGCATTTATTGCGATTCGAGTTCGCCGAAACCCTCCGTGTGGAACGCAATGAACGGCTGATTCAAAGCCCACTTCTGTATGGAATGCATGACGAACAGAACCGAACCCGCTATAATTAGACTAGCCTCAAATACAGGCGCTCGAGGCAAAGCAGCTAGACATATAACTTAGATTATGTCGTGCATGTCGAGTTCGCCTCTATCCTGAGGCCCAACCATATTTATGCCAGCTCTCATAGGAGCCTACACAGTCTCGTAACCAGACTTTTGACAGTGATCGACTCCTTCTTCCTTCCAACACAGGTATCAAATAATAAACGAACAACGATATATTTCAGTTCTTACCATCACATCATCTCCTCGAAACGCACTGCTTCAATTCACCGACCATCTCGAGACTTTCTCATCACACCTCGAACTAGAACTTCCAGCTACGTGCATACGCCTCTCCAGCTCCCTAGATCGTGCATCGTCACACCTTGCAACACATCAGAAACCAGCTCTTCCGCGTCAAAATCCAACACTTTATCAGAAAAGTTACTTTATCATCATACCGTTCTTTCATCGCTTCAACAAAGCAAGCGTTTGTGGTTTAGTGGTAAAATTGATCGTTGCCACGACTGGTCATTCAGTCAGCAGCTTCGATCAGCCCCGGGTTCGATTCCCGGCGGACGCATCACAGCCTTCGGGCAATTCTTTTTTGCATTTTTTCTCTGTCGCCTCTGTTTGTCGACGCCCGGGAGCTCAGTTTCCTTTTTGGGCCGACTGTCGGGAACTTTCGCCGGTTTTAGCCTGTTACAGAAGATGACCTTTCAACAGGAAACCATTTGTCTAGTCTACTCTCGATCGCGATCGTGAGGATCTTATAGGGCCTTTGGAAAACTTTTTGCATATGGATATCATACAGGAATGAGATTTCCGAACTCCGTGGTGGTAAATAAACATGAAAAGAGATATGAGAACTCCGTGTACTTGTAGAGGTATTATAATTAGACACAGCAAGCAGACCTATTACATCCAAACCAGGTTCATAACGGTTTGTAATATATATCGATCGCATTACCATAGTATTTTTTTTGGTTCCATTTTGTGTTTGTTAGTTTTTATCTTTATTTAGCGACATAGTCGTGGATATGCGGTTAAGATCCCTCATCTGTCTTTGCGCTCTTTGGTGGCGACTTGCTGCGTGTTCTCTTTGTGCTGTATTTGATCGCGGCCGCTTGCTCAGCAATAATGGAGTTATTCCATGAAGTGTTGCTGGATGGCGCGGATGTCTGGATTGGGTTTGGAATCTGTTTGATAGATTTATTTCTCTTAACAGTGCTCTTGCGAGGCATAAATAGCTGTCTCTGAGTTGCAGGTGATAGTATTCGCTTTGGGGTGCCCGGTGCATCGCCTTCATTGTCGTCGATAACTGTAAGGGTATCTACCCATTCACTTTGTGTAGAGTGTCTGTCGCCTGCCCCGCCTCTTCGGCTATTCTTTCGCCTGATGCTTCCTCCGCTGGCGTTGGAGGCTGCGCGGAGCATTGTGGAGGGATCTTGCATTGATACCGATCTCTTTCTTCTAAGTGAGCCAGCGGGTTGGTAGGCGCCATGGGGTTTATTTCTTCTCGGTGGTGAGTATGGCAGATCGGCTTCACCGTATGCCATGCTTGGGGGTTCGTAAAGTCGTGGGGCGCGGATGTATAAATCGTCGCTGGGACTTGTCATTTCATCGATTGGGCTGGTCATATTGGCTGGTCTTCGTCTTGATGGTTCTCTTTCAATTCCAGGAGAATAGATGGATGGTGAGGGTGGAGTTATGCTTCTGGGTTGGGGTTGGGATGTTGAGGGTACGGGGAGATATGTATCTGCGAAATCTTCGCTATGGTTTCTTCTATGACGCGCCTGCTGTGGCGGGAGAAGTCGTGGTGATTTCATTCCAATGTTGAATTCAGTGGGTACATTGCTGAATTCACTATGGACGGATCCTTGTCTTTGACGGGATGGGTGTACTCTTGGCCCGAGCGTGAGTTCGGACGGATGTGGTCGTGAATTAGTCGGCCGCGAGACTGTAGCTGCCGGTGGCATTAAACTGGCCGTACGGCTGTATTCTTCTTTGTGGTCCTCATTGTCTTGAGGTCTTACTGGGCCACTTATGGGGAGTTGAGTGGCTCCGCGAGGGAGAGTTGGAAGGCTGTTAGAAACTTCAGGTTTCTTTTCAACTATCGGCTCTTCGATATTTTTGTTAATATCTCTCGATTTCCATAGCTTTTGTTGTTTTCTATTGAAGAGCTTGTTAGTTTTTTGTACTTTATATCAGGTGGAAGGTAGTTGTAGATGCTCACCTTCTTCTCGCCCACATGAAACGACCAAGGATCAAAAGTAGTGTAATAAACACTGCAAGACCACCGATTAAGCTGCACACATCTGTTAGTTTCTAGACACCAATCATGATATCAGGTCTAGGAAGATAGGTGCATACGCATATTTCGCCCCAACGGGCATATCCTCGAACGCCATCTTGTCTTATGAATGGCGGATAGTTAAGTTATGTCGATACTGATTGAAACGAACGAAATGTATAATAGCCCCGCACAACCACCGAGAGAACAATGATCTACCAGTTCTCTTAGGGCCGAAGGGAAAATACAGAGAGGGGGATAAAACGCTAGCCCAAAATTATACTAGATGAATCTGATCTGAATGCAGAGCTGCATATGTATGCCCGTGATGTTGGAAAACCTGTGAAATCTTGCGTTGGAAAAGAACGAAAAGGGAATGGTGTGCCGCACAGTCGAACAGCGGCATGCAAGGGCTCCCGCACACAGAGTGGTCAAGAAGCCATTCAGTTAAGTAAGGAGTGAAAATTCCATCGAAAGGACAGGAGGTAGGTCGAACTCGGCAGGTGAGGTGGGCATAAAAGAAAAGAAGAAGCAGTAACGCCCAGAAGGAACTTCTGGGTGTACTGGAGGTGGACTGATTACTTTAATATAGGTGTCGACCTGGGCTAAAACGGACCTCAGTACACAATGTTTAAAAAGTTTCACCGAGGAGCTAGTTGATTGTTTCTAATCGTCTGATTTTTAACGCTTACCCTTTGTTTTCCCACCATACATTGGAAAACAATTGGCCCGTGTGCAAGATGTATTTCTGGTTACTTTGCCTTATTATCATCAAGAGCAGATCTTGGCCGCCAATGCCAATTAATCAAAGGATGTTGTTGCCTTTCGCATCCAGAAGCCGTTTATGCTCGCGACATATCATGAGGATCCGACAGAACTGAATCCTCAACCCTGGCATAATCTGCTACGATTCCTGGGGCGCTCCCCCAAGTTTACAAGTCGATACGATCAATAAAATGCCCATTCTAATCTGACATCACTTGAGGGTGTACATCCAGGAAAACTTCTACGCGCACTCGAGTCTTGAGGGAAGTCAATTGAGATTGTCGGAATGCGTGGCGTCCGCCTCTCGCTGCACCCGAGCTGCACCTGCAGCTTCGACCACAAGATGCACAGTTCGGTGCCCACCGGCTACTGCAATGCTACCTCGTCACATAAGCTAGTACATACGTAGCGCCCATTTTTTAGGATGCACGATCTTTGACGTTCAAGATACTCTTTTGAACAATACCCGAGTTCTCGAGAGTCCAACTGGTTTTCTGTACTGTGGCTGTGTCGTTGGAGGTTAGACTCGTTCGAAGTTGTTTCTCAAACAGTTGACACCGTCTGAAGGATTCTCAAACAGGCGTTCCGTCATAGGCGCGACACAGAACCCTAGATGTTATTAGGATCTAAAGTTGGCGAACTTTCGAATCTTTATCTGCTTTCGAGATTTGTATCGCATTCGGATCGTTCTGCGGATCTTCAAGAAAGAAAGAAAAAAAGCCCGTATGCACGCCAAATGGGAAGTCTAGATTCCGGTTTGTGGGGCCCATACGGTTGCATGATATGATAGCCTAGATATAATTTACCAAAGTTCAAGATTTCGCCTTCGTCTTAGATTGAGACAACAGAGAGTCGCAATGCTATTTATCGCTACTCAGGCGAAAAAAAAAAATAAAGAATTAACCATATCGAAAATTAATTACAGTTATCGCGATTTCGAAATGGACAGGGTATTTACCTGGCCGAAGTTTCGTCCAGAATTATTTTTACTTCTTCACTAAACCCGATGAAGGATAGAGGGAAAGCCAGCACCAATTGCACCTCCTCCATAAGGCATTTTACAATGGGCGATATATCAACAACGAGACAGAAACCCTCCGAGATTTACGGAATCCCGCATGTCACCGTCAGAGATGAAGAAAAACGTGCTAGCATACTAGTACCAGCAAGAAAGAAAAAAGCTAAAACTATCAACGTTCGAACATGTTGTGACAGGCAGACCTTTAAGGTTGTGGCATCCCGGTCAGATGCATTTATGCATGATTCTTACAACCCGCATAGCATGGCCACGGCCGGGATAGATTTCCCCTCAGAAGTTCTAGCTCCCCGATTGTTTATTCAGACGGCTAAGAGCTTGACCAGGTTACAGATGTCATGATTAGGGCAGTCAGGGCATCTCGTGCCGATGACGATTGAATCAGTTGTTAGTTGAACGACATACGGCGGACTTAACTGCGTACCGATACTTTGTGAACACGGTCACAACATGCCCGATCATGCTAGTTAGACACTTTCCCGCCTTTTGTTCAGATATTCCAGGCGAAGAATAAAGCACTCCGTGATGTCACCTAGTCTCGTAGTAGATGTCACCGTCCCTTTTATAACATGATGCGGCAGCCACAAAGTGAGCTCGCCATTTTTCTGCGTTGCGTGCAAGGACCCTGGACGACATCCCCAACACATTCGCCTGTGATTGGCTCTTTCGTCTGCCCAGAACCCATTCAAATTTTCATTCCTCGAAGCTAAACCTCCAACCTCCCACCATAACTCGACGGACGTCGACGATATCAACCCCCCACGGACGTCGCCCCATCGGCTACGTCTAAACCCTCTTCACATAGACAATGCCGCCGCGGTTACGGCCGTCCAGTCTTCCCTCCACAAGCAATGTGATCCCTCAATCCTTCTCATCATCCCCTCTCCTACCGTTCCTCCTCCCCTCCCACCACATTTACACTGTTATATCATCATCCTCCTCCTCCTCTCGCAACTTCTCTACCTCAAAACCCGCCTACCGTCGTGCCCGTGGCTTCGAAAAGACACCAGGAACCCGCAATGGTTTCATCGAATGGATGGCAAAATATGCCCCACGCTATAATGTCCCCAATCCTACCAACAACGTCCCCGTCTACATGACCTACCAACCCCGTGCTCTTCCTAGCAAAAAGGTAGAACGAGCACCGGGTATGTCTCGGAAAAAGGCAAAATTAGACTCAATTGATTGGGACACCGCGAAAGAGAAGTCAACACTTTCACCGTTCCCGGGGAATAAGTCGTTTAAAGCTCACCCTGTTATATCGACGGAATTCAGGGAGCAGATAGATTTGAGGATAAAAGCTGGGAGATCGGTTCGTAGGGTATCTGCGGAGTTGAATTGTGAATTAGAGAGGATTGCAGCGGTGGTGAGGTTGAAGGCGATTGAGAATAAGTGGATTGAGCAGGTAAGATATCTTCTTGATTCCTTCGATGCCCCTACTGCTTTCTGTTTTTCTTTTTCACCCATTGTTATCAGCGAATATGATGAT